ATGCACACTGGGCGGCCTGCCTCCTCAGCTGCACCATCTCGTAGCCTGGGGCGCCGAAGGTCCGGTGCGAGTAGGCGCCCTGCGGCTTCGCACCCATGGGCCGCAGGGGGCGGGTGGCGGCGCGCAGGCGAGCGCGCCGACGCGTGCGCTTGATGGCCTGGGAGCGCTTCTTGACCTTGGTGAAGCGGCACCTGGCCTCGTGCCTCGAACGGCACTGCCCCGCCGAGGTGTCAGCCCCCAGGTCGACTGCGTGTCGGACCGCTTCGGCGGGGACATCAGCACGCTGAAAACCAGGCGCAATATGTGCTGCCAATTTCGAAGAGGATGCAACGACCACCGTCTTGGGGCTTGCCGCCAAACTCGCCGCCTCGAGCTCCGCCCCAAGAGAAGACCCATCATCGACCAACAGATCGCCGACTCGCTTCTCGGCGCCTTCGGCACAGACCACCGCGTCGCCAACGAAAGTGCACGAGAGGATGCTCGTCCCACACCGAGAGTGAGCCCGAGCAAGAATGCGCCCAAGGAAAATCTTCGCCAGACGACCCCCATGAAGCGAGCCCCCCACAAAACTCTTCTAAGGCTGGATGGCCCTGATCAGCCGCGCTCAATCCTCCGAGCGCCTCGGCGCCAGGAACAGCTGGAGCTTCAGAGCCAGGGGTGGCGGGGAAGCCCTGCCGAATCCCAGCCGCGCACATCAACGCGATGGAGATGCTGTCGTAAAACTTCTCCTGGCCCAATTAAATAATCGGAATTGAGATCTGCACATCCTTGCAGGTCTCGCCCGTCAAGGGGCGGGTGAGGGCAGCTTGCAGAGCCGACGACCATCGCACGGCCGTGCCCCAACGTTCGTCAGCATCAACCACCCACGAAAAAGAATCAGCGCTCCTCATCTTGCTCCACAGCTTGGCCAGAAAGGGCAGCAGGCCCAAGTTGCGATCGCACCCCCCTTGGCATGGGGGCGACCGCAGACACCATCATGAAGAGCTGCTCGGGCCACGTCCCGCTGCGCTCGACATCCACTAGGAGGTCGAGCAGCTCGAGCTTGGCGGCGCCAGGCGCCCTCTGAGCATCGACTGGCCCCATGTTGTCCACGCCGTTGGCCTTCTTGGCATTCATGGCCCTGGTCGCGGAATCGAGCCTGGACATGGGCAGCGGCTCCAAGTCGGCATTGGCAGCCTTTTGATGATAGCACCTGAGGACAGTCGCGACCGCGCGAAGGGGCCGCTCTGGAACCCGACCATATCGCTGCCCATTGGTCAGCGCGCTTGTTCGTCGTCTTATCGGGCGCGGCGCGCGCGCGGGAAGCCCGAAACAATCGCATCCAGTCTGCCGGGAGCACCTTCTCACGAAACGTGGTAATACGCCTGGAGACGGCTTCCACATCGGGGTGGCGCACGACTGGAAGCCTTTGCGCGCCCTGGCCATCGCAAAGCCTATAGCGCGGCAAATGAAGGCCTCGGCGCGGTGGATCACCTCTCCCAGCTCGTCCTGGGGGGATGGTATCAATCTGGCTGACCGCGGCGACCCAGGGCACGAACTCCTGGTCCTCGCCGAACTGATGCTGGAGCTCCGTGTCCAGCCCAACGTCCATGAGCTCGTGGAGCTTCGCGCGGCAGTTGGCGAGGTCGGGCAACTCGCGATCAGCACGTCGACGAAGCGCAGACACTCGTGTAGGAAGCGCCGTGCGCATGTTCCACCATTCCAAGGGTGGGTCACGCATGTGCGGGCGATCAGGGGTAGCGCGCGTCTGCTTCCACTCAACTGCGTAGCCGCAAACTCGCCCCGGGCACTGCTTGGGGCTCTCGCTGGGAATCGAACGGTGAGCGAGAATCGCATCTTCAACCACCTGGACCCAGCGACCGCATTGACTAGAAATCGAAAGCCGAATGTCAGGGTTCCTGTCCAGCCAGAAATGCAGCCTACCATCAGACTGATGACGGTATACATTGCTCTTGGCATCCTGCCAGCGCTCGACGGGGATACAGAGGAGGGTAGTCGAATGGGGGCGTGCCCAGGGTAGGCGGCTGGGTCAGGCCATCGAAGGCCTCCTGCAGGTGCTCCTCAAGGTTGCGCCTGCGACGTTCCCCGGCCAACGCCAGCACCTTCTGCCTCTTGCCGTCAGGGCCAGGTGCACGCGGCGACGGCCTTGGCTCAGAGGGCAGCTCGCGGGCCGTGGCCAGCGAGCGGTGCCGCCGAGACTTCTTGCCAGACTTTATTATGACCACGATGCCCGCGTGCGTCTTCCACGGGGCCTCAGCGACAATGGACGCACGAATGCTGTTAGAGAGCCCGTCCTTGACAATCGCATCTTCTATTGGGCTGCCTCATCCCCGATCGCAAGTAGCCACGCCATTATCTGGCACTCAAATTTGGCCGCCCAGCTTGGGTATCCATGGCGTCTTGGCCCGTTCGGCTGGGGCGGCTTCCAGTCTCCAATCAAAACCCATGGGTCCTTCAACTGCTCAACGAAGCTGCCCAGTCGGATTAACATTTGCTCATTCGGACCTCTGAACGTATGGGCAGGGAGCGAATCGCAAGTGATGGCTACGATGTTTCCAGCACGCGCATGCCAGAGAAGAGGAGCGAATCCCCCGAAGCAGTCCTTGCCCGTGCGCTTCAGCTCGGCGGTGCGCAGGGACTCGAAAGAGATGGTGGACAACGTCTTCTTCGCCATCGCCCACTCGCCGCCGGCGTTGCCCGCGGAAGAGCGGCCAGTGGGCACTGCGGGGGCGGCTATCACTTTCCACCCGTCATTGCCCATCTCGCGCATGGCCCGGTCCAGCTTCGCAGCCAAAATATGCGTCACCGCGAACGCGACAACGTCGTACATGGAGGCTCGTCCCCGCAAGCGATCCCGGGCCACAGGGCCCCATTCAGAGATGTTAGCGAAGAAGATCGACGATTCCGCCGACGTCGGCGGAGGTCCCTGGGCATGGGCTCCCAGGGCGGCCGTAAAACATGTAGGGGCCGAACTCGCACGGGGCAACGGAGCCGCGCCGCCTGGCCTGTCAAAAGCTAGGCACGGCTGCAGCAGAGCCGCCAGGCCGCACCAGGAGAGCCAGCAGCGCCTTTGCCGCCGCCCATGGCCTTCGCGACGGCGTCGGCCCTTCCCTTGGCGACTGCCTCCTCGTAGACAGCCTCGGCAGCCTCGTCGAGGGCGGCCTGCCTCTCCCGCGCCGGAGGCCCAGAGGTAGGGGCAGCAGCAGCGGCCGCGCCAGCAACTACCGACGGCCCGCACGCGCTCGTAGCGCGCGTGGACCTCCGCCTGCAGCGCCGAGACCTGGTCACACTTCTCCGTGATCTGCGCCTCGAAATCCTTGAGCTGCGTCTGCTGCTCGGCGTCGAACTCGCCGATGTCGGCGAACAGCTGGTCATCCACTGCAAAGACCACCCTCTTGCCGCCAGACGTGTAGCCCTCAGGGGCGCTCTTGATGTTGGCCTTCGCAGCAACGCCCTCCACAGCCGCATCGTGGGCCGCCTTCGCGCGCTGCTGCGCAGCCGCGGCCTCCTGCGCCGCCTGTTCAGCGTTGGCCAACGCCCGCTCCGCTGCGACGACCGCAGCCGTCCCGCAGCCTCCTTCTTGTCGAGCACCCTGGCGGTATAGGAGTAATCCACGTGCGAAATCGTATGCTTATTGGCCGACTCCTCCGCGTAGCGCTGCTGAGCCGCCGCAAGCGTCCACACCTCGCCAGCGAACATGGGGATGCGCGCGAACTGCGCCAAGAGGACCGCGGGGTCGGGCTCGAGCGGAGGCGAATGAGTAGTCGAACCGTGCCAGAACGAGCTCGCCTTCCACGGCGCAGGCTTCTCGTACATCTGGATCGGGGCAGAGCACTTCCCGCACTTGCCATCGTTCCTGCGGATGCGAGAGTTGCAGGCCCAGTTGCCGCAATTGCAGCACCAAGAGAAGAGAGCTTTGGGCGTCATGGAAGCGAAGGAGCCGAGACGAGAGAGTGGGGCGGACCACCCCTCGCAAAATCTGTCGGGCTGAACAACCCAGGCACTGGCCGTGGACTAGCGGTATCCACGTGTTCCCCTGTGGAACCAATCATCTTGAGCCA